TCTGATCTAATGTAGAAAAAGACACGGGGTAAAGGTGCACTGGAGGAGGTTTTGCGAACCCATGAAGCAATACAGTGAGTGATGATGAATTCCTTGTAGATTTAACTTGATTTTGTTTCATTATGATTCTTTGTCTGATCCTCTTTTGTTGCATCTGTGGGGAAGGGTGGACGGGTCACTGGACAAGTCAGTTTCTATGCGTCAGATGGAGCTGTCAGCAACACGGAGCTCTCAAGAGACGGGAGATGGCTCAGGGACAACCTCTGAATCGGAAGGAAACCGGAGGAAGAAAGTTTTCATGGTTATTGGGATTAATACCGCTTTTAGCAGTAGAAAGAGGCGTGATTCAGTTCGAGAGACGTGGATGCCTCAGGGTACTGTAATTTTGATTTAACTTCTTGATCTGTCTGTTTTCCATGTCTTGTCTCTAATCTAATAATTTTATTGTACTTACGGCAGGGGAGAAGCTCGAAAAATTGGAACGAGAGAAAGGCATCGTCGTCAAGTTCATGATTGGTCACAGGTGAGCTAGATCTCTTCCTCATAGATGTTGCATTATGATTCATGTATATATGCAACGATCTTTGAGATGCATGTTTTCAAGTAAGATGCTTGGTAGTCAACTTCCATAGCAATCACCTCATAGTGGGTGTGTATGTTGCTTTATGGAAGTGCATTAAGCATGTATATATATATATATATATTCACAGCATTCGTGTATTCTATAGTTTTTCAATCGATCCAGACTAACCTGAGCTGTATACAAATTTGTTGGCAGTGCAACATCAAATAGTATTTTGGATAGAGCTATTGATTCAGAAGATGCTCAACACAAAGACTTCCTTCGGCTGGTAAGGAAACGGTAATATTTCACAGGAAGTAGACGGCATTCTTGATTTTTACTGTGTTTTCTTATTTATTGTAGGAGCATGTTGAAGGGTATCATGAACTGTCTGCAAAAACCAAAATTTTCTTTTCCACCGCAGTTGCAAAGTGGGATGCAGAGTTCTATGTCAAGGTTGATGATGATGTCCATGTCAATCTTGGTAAAAAAAAAAGCCTGTTCCTAGCATTTCTTCTTATCTCCTTGGGACTTTTATTCAAAAAATGGATGCTTTGTTAGGACACAGAGCTAAACCTAAACATGGTGTCGTCTCTTTTTTCGATTCAGGTATGCTAGCTTCCACTCTTGCCCATCACCATTCAAAGCCGAGGGTCTATATTGGGTGCATGAAGTCTGGGCCTGTTCTTTCGCAAAAGTAATTTCATTCGGATTTTTCCTAGTTCCACAAATACTTAAACTCAGGTTTCAGCTTGCAAGAGTGCTAATCGATTTTTCCAATTTTTCCAGGACTGTCAAGTACCATGAGCCCGAGTATTGGAAATTTGGAGAGGAAGGAAACAAATACTTCAGGCATGCCACTGGACAGATCTATGCCA